ACAAGGAAAGGAAAGGGAAAGAATCATTTTGAAGACTGAGTAATATGTTTAATACATACATTTATTTTTCATATAACGCAGCGTGTACAATATTATCTAACGCGTAAGCTATTACTTCACATTTCATAATGGAATTTTTATCATAAATTTTGTGCAAAATATTTGCAGCATCACATTGATTAGTAATACAGTTTTGGCGTAAAAAAGTTATAAAATATTTAAATTTCTCACTAATACCGTGAGTATACTGACAAAGTTCAAAATATACATGTTCGACGCAATGTTCGAGTTCAAACATGAAAAGCATGGTTTTTGGCTTCATGTACAAACACGTACCATTCAATCATATTTTTACATTATATTCATTACCAATTTTAACAAGTTCCACAATTAAATCTTGAATCGTTAGAGATGAGGAAACAGTTGACTGCACTAATCGCTCAATTTGCACGTCTCTCGATAAACGCCTTCCATCGTATGAGGCAAGATTATGCGATTTCCTCGATTATCGCCAATCACAATTTTTACATAGGACCTAAGTCCCATGCTGATTCCAATGTCCTTATAAGCTGTAGATGTCAATGCGAATCTCCTTCTCAAAATATAAGGCGTATGACAAGATGTCGAAGATGTATAAGATGTGCTGTTAAAGAAAGAAGAATACAGGTAAGTAGAAAAAAAAATATATATATATACAGGGTCTTCAAAAAGTCCGGAAACGGTCGAATATTTCGAAAATTAAGCATTTTTGAAAAAAATGTTTCTGACAAAAATTGTAAGATTTAAAATGTTGCATTTACTGATCTAATCATTTTGACCTTGGGTGGCGTCGCTAAGGCCAGATCAAGGTCACATCGGTTTTTTTTAAATGGAACCCCCTATTTTTCATTACATTTTCTTGTAGCTTACATCGAGAGCTTTCCAAAACACTATAATAAAATATTTTTTCATTAAGTATTTTTCGAGTTATAAGGCTCGAAAGTTACAGTACAGTCGGCATTAGCATTAC